AATGAGTGGCTGCTTATGGTGGATAGGTAGATGATACAGAAGAAGATAATAGCTCTTCTAGTAGATAACTGTACTGCTCATTACAGTATACTATAATATTGAAATACAGTATGCTATTTTCCTTCCAATTGTACATCAGTGCTGCAACCACTAGATATGGGAATAATTCAGAGTTTTAAAACTAAACACAAATTCCATTTAATGCAGGCATGCCAATAAACATTGAAAGGAAGTTCACAAATCTCTATAACATAAATATAAAACAAACATGTGAAATGATTGCCAACTGCTGGTGGAATTTGCAACCTGTTACAATCAAGAACTGCTGGAAAGATGAAAAACTTGTCTTCATTGAAGAGGACAACATGCCTGTGGTGTCACGAAGCAGAGACCTCGAGGAACTACTCCAAAAATCTTCCAGTATTACAGGCAACAGTGCAGATATGGTGGCAGAAGAATATGTTTCTGTTGATAAGGAGCCATATTTATTTAGACTGAACAGATGAGGCAATTCCAACAGAGTTAGGGACTGATGTCGAAGATGTAGAAGATGGAAAGGAATCAGTTTCATGTAAATTCCCCAGTATCTTAAAAGTTATTTCTCAAATGAAAATTCAACATATGGCAACCACAATTCCTGGAATTGGAAATGAACAACTGGTTGCTCTTGATGCAGTTCATTCAGTTTTTGTAAACCACAGCTTGCAAAAAATGAGCCAAAGCAAAATAAACTTTCTAAGACATCATAAAGTTCAAAACAATGTAATACAATATCCTGATTAATAAATAATACAGAACCAATCAGAGCACATTATTCAAATTCTAATAATTAATATTTAAACTAATCTACACTTTTCTTAATGATCTCTGTTCTTAAATTTCCCAGGTATAACAATACTATTTTCCTTGTCCCTAAAATATAATTGTAATGAGGTTTGACTGTATTAAATCAACCACTATTGATTTCTGGAAAACAGGAAAGAGTTAATAATTAATCATTTTTATACTACATTATTATTATTATGTTGGGTTTAGTGGGTTACTCAGTTCACACCGGTGGCTGTGTACTATGCCGGACCAGAGTCAAGGCATAGCAACCAAAAACAAAAATTAAATAAGTGTGTCAGTGTCTGTATTCAGGAATTTCGTAACAATATGACATGTATTCAATATAGTGGCCTTCTGTAGTGTGATGTATGTATTTCTATTCAATTGTAATGTTCCCAGGCTTTTGTGTAGTGTGTGTGGTATCACACCTGTACAGGAGAGAACGACAGGTACAATAATCACCCTATCCATCCTCCACAGATGCCTTATTTCCTGGGCGAGTTCTGTGTACTTGCTAATTTTTTCAGTGCATGTGTTTTGTACATTGTGAGTGTTTGGAATGGCTATGTCTATAATGTATGTGATTTTATTGTGTTTGTCAATGAGTGTGATGTCTGGTCTGTTGTGGTAAATTGTTTTATCTGTGATTATGGCTCTGTCGTAATACATTTTGTGCGTGTTATTTTCCAATACTGTCTGTGGAATATACTTGTAGTATGGTTCGTGGATGTCTGCCAATTTGTGTTTCTTTGCAAGCTCTTGGTGTATTATATTTGCTACTTGATTGTGTCTATGTAAGTAATCTGTCTGTGCCAAGAGCTTGCAACCAGAAGTGATGTGTTGTATAGTTTCTGGCATGATGTGACATTTTCTGCATGTGTCATTTGTGAGTGTTGTATCTTTGAGTATGTGTTTTCTGTAGTTTTTAGTATTTATGACCTGATCCTGTATGGCAATCATGAATCCTTCCGTCTCCCCAAAGAGGCATCCCCGATCTAACCAGCTGTTTGACGCAGTTTTGTCAACAAAATCCTGGGCCAGGTCGTAAGGATGCCTGCCATGGAGAGCCTTTTGAGCCCATGATTGCTTAATGTTGTCTATGCTTTTTATATGTTGTGTCATGTCTGTATGTTGTGAGTGTAAGTTTAATGGTGTGTTATTTGAGTCTGCTAGAGTTACTGCTTTATGTAACTGTGATGTTTCTTGTTTCTTGTAGAAAAACTCTCGCAGTGACTGTATTTGTTTGTAGTGAAGGTTAACTATGTCAATCAGGCCACGTCCGCCTTCTTTACGTGGAAGGGTTAATCTTTCTGTGGCGGATTTAGGATGATGTTGTTTATGCTTAGTAAGTGTTGTTCTTGTTTTCCTTTGGAGTTGCTCGAGATCTGTGTGAGTCCAATGTATAACTCCAAAAGAGTATGTGAGTACTGGGATGACATATGTGTTTATTGCTTTAACTGTGTGTTTTGCATTTAACTGTGTTCTAAGTATAGCGTTTAACCTACTTTGGTATTCTTTAATTAATCGTTGCTTTATTTGTGTATGTTCTGTTAGTTTGGCCTGTTGGAATCCTAAGTACTTGTAGAACTCGCCCTCTTCCATGGATTCAATAACGTCTCCATTTCCAAGTGCAAAATCTTCTTTCTTCAGGATTCCTTTTTCTATGTGAAGTTTTTTGCATTTGTCTAGGCCAAACTCCATTTGTATGTCCTTAGTGTATGAATGTGTGATTTGTTGATGAAGTTGTTTTTGTGTGGATGCATAAAGTTTTATGTCGTCCATGTACCTGTACATGAGATGTGACAGCGTAAATTGTGTTGTTTTTTCGTGTCTGATATTGTAGCCGTATTGCGTGTTGTTTAACATGTTGGATAATGGGTTCAGGGCTAGGCAGAACCAGAGAGGACTCAAGGAATATCCTTGAAAAATTCCTTGCCTAATGAATATTTCGTTTGTTTGTATGGAAGTGTTGTTACTAACCCTGAGATGTAGTGTTGTTCTCCAGTGCTGCATAGTGTTTTGAAAGAATGCAATGAGTGATGGATGTATTTTGTACATGTGTAGAATATGTAGCAGCCAACTGTGTGGAACACTGTCAATTGCTTTTCTGTAGTCTTTATATTCCATGTGTATGTTTCTGTGTTGTTTGTGTTTTTGCCATAGAATGACTGAATCCACGAGTAACTGTTCTTTGCATCCCTTCTGATTTCTATGGCAACTTTTTGTTGTTCTGTAAGAATTTCGTGTTCTTCAATATGTTTGTATATTTTGTTTGTGATACAGGATGTCAATAATTTGTAGAGTGTTGGAAGACATGTAATTGGTCTGTATTGTTGTTGTTTTTAGGTTTCATGTAGGTGATGCCCTGAATAAGAAATTTTGGCATGTCTTGTGGATTGATGATGATGTGTGTTAGATGTTTAGCTAGTTCCTGGTGCAGTGATGTAAACTTTTTGTACAAGAAATTGTGAATGTTGTTTACACCAGGTGTCTTCCAGTTGTGTGTTCTGTTCACAGCGTAGCGAATGTCATGTATGTTTATTTCAGCACAGGGCATAGCTGGTATGTTGTGCAAGTTTCTGTTCTCCTCCTCGATCCAGCCTGCATCAGCATTGTGTGTAACAGCATCGGACCAACGAGAAGACCAATAAGTTGTGAGTTCTTCTTCTGTTGGTGTGCCACTGTGCAATGTATCAGTGTTTGTTTTCGTACTGATTTGTCTGTAGAAAAATTTTTCATTGTTTGTGAATAATTTATTTTGTTGCTTTCGTAGTGTACATGTGTTGTATCGTTTGAGTGTACGTGCTTTGGCTGTGAATTTTTGTTTTAGTGTATCAATGTATTCTGTAATGTGTGTGTTTTGATGTTCATGTTTTGCATGTGTTTTGATTTTCTTGAAAATGTTTTTGAGTTGTTTGTTTAATTTGGGTGTTATGTTGTTTTTAGTGTATTGTGTCAGCCTGCCTAATTGCTGTCTAATGTCATTTATTTGTGTTTCTATTCTTCTCTGCCAGGCAGGGTTGTGATAGAATTGTGTTTTGTGTGTGTTTGTCTGCGATTGTATTTTCAGTCCATGGTGTGTCACTACTGTGACTGCCCCAGCATATACTAATGTATGAACGTCTGAGAGTGTAGAAATTGAATGAATGTTGTTTGGTAGTAAGTGAGTGTTTACATAATTTAGTGTTTTTCTTACTTCCTTTGATGTGTTGATTTTTGGTATTCGTGGTCTTTGTGTGGGATCTGTACCAATATATTTAGTGAGTGTTTCCTGAAATATAAGTGAGAGTGTATTAACTAATTCTATGTCTATGTTATCAGTGATGGATGAGGAAGTGTCTGTAGTATCATTAGTGATAGTTGTTGTAAGTGTGCTATTATCAATGCTTGTTGCTGGATTATCCTGAAAGGTTATGTGATCTTCATTAATAATGTTAAATGTTACTAATGGGCCAAGACTAATGCCAAATTTGTACTGCATTAAATAGACTAGTGATTAGTATTATGTTATTTGTTTAATTATTGTACAATATAACGAATAAAATATCTAATTATTCTTAATGTAATGTTTTACTATATCACCCAGAAAATTGTTTTTCGCCCCCAAAATATAAATTGTTACTAATTGCTCCCTCAACATGGAAAAATGCCCACATGGGGGCAATATCGCCCCACTGAGAAACACTGTGCTAAATGAAGCATTCATGATATCAATATTTACATAATTAAATTGATATAACCATGAATAAAATTCAGTATTGCAAAACTAAGCTTATTTTATATATAACACTTGCTGATGAAAGAATAGAGGATAGAGATTCCATAGCGTGTATAATCTGTTTAGTAAAAGCCCAGAATTTTTAGTACTCTGTTATATCACATAGCCAGATGTATTGTGCTTTTTCTTTGTCTCTCAAAAAGCACAATATAATGAGGAGCTACTGTATTTAAATTTCTTCTCAGATATACTGTAGAACATTCCAGATTATTTCATGAAACACTAACAGAAAAACATTAGTGAAATATTATAAAAATTTCTTACAGTAAAATATAAAATTTAAGAATAATTAACTTTTTTTCAGAAAAAATTTGTTTGTAATTTTTTTAAATTTAACTTATAAAAAATTAAAATTAAAGTTAATATCAAATATTAATTAGTTTAAATATCTTACCATTCCTCAGGTGATTTTTCAGAACTTTGTACTGTATTTGCATTTAACTTCTGAACACAGGAAAACACAGTTGATTCTTCTTGATTATTAATATTTGGATTAATTTCTTGAATGCAAGAAGGTTCTACATCAAAATTGATAACATCAACCTCAAAAGTTATTAAAGTAAAAATTCATTTTAGAAAATTAAATACAATACATAGGGTTCCTACGGAATATATTTACTAAAACTTTAAAAACTATTTATTTTAATGTATTATATATAATATGAAAATAAAATGATATAATGTTATTATAAATTTCAAACTTATTTAGAAAAATTTTACTATCAATTATTAGAGAGTTTGCACAAAAATTTATCCCTTAACATTACTCTGTAATGTCACAAGGTTGGTTGAGCTACTTTAAGGATAAAATTATAAGGAATGTTTCTTATAAAAATAATGTAAGGTCTGTATTTTAGACCAATCACAGAGCAGTACATGATGACACACTAAACCCCTCCTTCTCTTGCTACACTTCAAGCACCTGTCAGTTGCAATTTTCTCTTTGTATGATTGAGAATTTTACACTTTTGTTTGTTTTTTTATTTCAAAATTTTTACTTAAAGTAAATGAATTATGAAAATAATTTCATAAACACATTAATTTAAAATTATCTTTTCACATTTTATTTAATGTGAAATATAAATTGATAACGATTATCAATTAAATTATTGTTTTGTGTATTTTAAAAGACATAGGATTATCAAGTTGTTCATGCTCCTTCAAAAGCTTTTATAATCAAAGATACTAATAAATATATTTCCATTTCTTGTTGTGAGCCAAATAACAATAACTGATTTGGTATAGAAGCTATGTTTATTTACTTTCCATACATATGACATCAAAAGAAAAATATTACAATTATAAAAAACTGCACATTCTCTTTTGTCTCCTTAAAATAAAGTCTCTTAACCTTATGTAATGATGTCATTAAGTAAGGTTAAGAAACCTTACAAGAAGTGTGTGCAAACTCCCTATAAGTACATGTTAACTTTGATTACTATAACCCTTTAATTTATATTATTTTATACATTTCAAAAAACCTACCTAAACATTTAAAATTAATGCAAAATAGAAGATGAAAGCAACTGTGAAATTACTTGGACTATATTTAATGGTCTAATGTATTCAAAATTATAAATTGTTTATTATGAATCAGACATTGCAGACAAATATGTTACCAACTGGACAATTTATAATTTAATACTCTTTTTATTCCATACCATTATGTAATCTTATTAATTTAATAGTTGATCTTATTTTTGTGTTTGATATAATATTGGATGTTCATTTGTATTGTACACACACACACACACAATGTCGCAAAAGCTTTCAAATATGCCTTGAATGATGCCCTAAATGTTATAGCAAAAGATAACATAGAGCTAAAACAAGGCTGTAAACAAGCTGAGAGAAAAGAATGATTCATGGCAAGAAAATAGCTACCTTCCAATAAGAAATTCTTAGAAGCCACAACCTGACAGGCAAATCTGTTTAGTAGCAAAAAATCAGAAAACTCTTTCTATGGTCAGTTCTACAAATTCTGAAAATTAAATGGAAATACCATGGTGGTTCTACAGCATAACCATGATCTAGCAGACTTTATGCATTCAAGAATTGGGATCACCAGACACTGAGGCATGTTGTGTCTACATAAATCGCAAAATATCCCTGCAAATGATGACCACAGAATTTCAAACATGTTTGCAAAGTTCTCACTTCAAGGACAGTCTGCAAGGAATTAAAATGCCTTGGTTTTAAGATTGGACCATGCACATTAACCAGTAATACTTTAGCTTAAGGCAGTCTGTTACTGGACTATAAATGACTGAAAATGCATGACAAACCATGCCACACTATACAGTACTCAGAGGATATCAGGTAAATGCTTCCTTTTCAAGTTTTGGTGTTGACGGAACTTTAGTATGGGATTGTTTTTCAGAATTAAGCCTTGTATCCACTTGTTCCTGTAATGGGAACATTCAACACAATTAAGTAACATTCTGGATAATTCTGTATATCCCACATTATGACTTAGTTTGAGGATTAATCAATTATAAACAGACATGTTAACATTCTTATCCACAAAGTACAGTCTGTAAGAGTGATTTGAGGACAATGATGTTCAAGAAATAAAATGGTCTGCATGGATCTCAACCCAACTGAATACATCTGGGATAAATTATAAAGTATGGACTGAGAACCAGAACAAATTGCATAACATTGATGGATAACCTCAATGCAGCTACTTTGGAAAAATAGTGCCAAATTTCTGTAACAATTGTTAGAACAATTGGTAGAAAGTCTTTCCTAAAAGGCAGAAGCTATTATCACTGCAAAAGATGGGTCAACAAGATATTGATTACCAATGTAATGTTGCTCTTTCATTTATTTAGAATTGTCCCATTACTTTTGACCACACATTACATATATGTGTATACACATAAACAGAATTTTAAAAAATATATTTATAATTTACATACTGTGTATTTGAAATAAAGGCTTTGATTGATCTGATTTCTGTAAATCATCACCATTGTTATTATTTTCAGACATGTCCTTTAGAGATTCTTTATCTTCATTATTTTTATCTGAAGTAGCTACAAAAAATTAAAAAGAATTAATAAATTAGAAAATTGTTTTAAACATTTTTCAAATAGTTCTATTTTAAATAAATATATTTATTAACATTCTAATATAGAACATAATTCTAAATACAGTAAAACCTGTCTATGGCAACCACCCACAGTTCCTTCAAAAAGTGGTCTTTTAGACTGGTGGTCATCCAATACAGGTGGTGCTGTAGTACCATATTTCCATACGTATTTTGCACAGTTTTTAGCCATTTCTACTAAGCAAAACTCGAGGTGAGCAAAAATAAGCGAATTTTTTCAACGATAGGGCTATATTGGTATTGTATTTTATTCTTATCGGATAGCTCGATTTACAGGAGTCGTCATGATTTTATACGACAGATTTAATGCCAATATTTTAAAGATTAATACAATAATCGCATTTTCTCTATTATAATTACAGTGACCATATTTTTTGGGGGAAAATAAAGGACATATCGAAGAAAATCAAAAAAATACGTTATAAAATTCATAAGTTTATAACATTCATTACGAAAATAGTAGCATACAACAATGCATACATTAAAATTTTAAACAATCTGAATTATTACACATACACACATTGTAAAAATTTAAATAACATTAATTTTGATACTTTTCAGTAGAATTAATTTTTTATAGCACCGTTTCACGCTTTAAAGTCATAAAATTCCATACAGTTCATTTGAAAGTTGTATTTGACAGAAATACATGCTTCTAATGTGCTTACTTTTAAATGGGTTTTTTCATTCGTCCGCATATTATTCAGCAATGAAAATATTCAATCAACAGGGGCATTAGATCCAGGAAGACAAAAAAATTCTACGATTTTACAAACGTTTTTGAAAACAATTTCTTCTGCTGTAAAATGTTCAAAAATCTCAATCCACCTTTGATGGCAGGGCTGGTTATTCTGTCACCATTCGTCGATCTTTTCGTTTGTGATATATTTTTTTACACATGAAACTTCATCAAATAATTCACCGTTGAGTATATTTACGGACCAATGATTCGAAATAAAGATATAGCTTTCTTCTACCTTCGCCCACAAAGGGATTTCACATAATGTGACCCATTCAAACACCTCTATTTCAATAAAAAACATGTCCCAATCATTTAGATAATCTATGCACGTTTGATAAAATGTGTACACAGCATCATTGAATTTTTTGGCTTGTATATTTTCTGATTTTTCTAATGCTGAGACCACTTTTCTAATAACAATAGGAAGAAACCCCTCATTTTTTCTTTCAACTAACTTTAGCTTTAATTAACAAGTGTATCATCCACCAACTAGAGAGTTAAGAAACTATCACAAAAATCCCCATAAGAATGTCCACCCCCTGGTACTGTCAGTGGGCCGTTTGGTTGGCGACACACTGCACTACTGTGCTCTATGTAGCAATGCAACACTGATCGTGATGGCGTACACAAAACTAACTTGTTCAATATATTATTAAAAATTTTTTTTTAAACTTTGCGTCAACTTTACAAAATAAAGGACAAAATGCCTATTTTAGAAAATAAATAAAGTTAAAGGACAGAGCAGTGAAATAAAGGACTGTCCTCTTAAATAAAGGACGTATGGTCACTGTAATTATAATGCACATTTTCTTTTTTCCAATTTAATTCAGCTTGGTTCTTTTTGTTCGCTCCTCAGTTACGTGTATTACGTCATCGATATACAAGCGCGTTGTATCTCTACATCACTTTGGTTTTGGTATTCATTAGTTTAATCTTATTTTAACTTTAAAAATACTGTATTTTTTAAAATATTTTCTTAAGTACAATAAGAAAAATTATTAATTAATAATAAAACGACTTTATTATTTTTTCTCATTATTAGATTTCATTACATTCTGTGATTATCATTGCGGAATTGAAAAAGGAAGGCTTCCTGTAAAACTGATTTTTGCATTAATGCATTTATTGTTTTTTGAATATTTTGCATGCGAAAATTACTTGGATATTATTTTTCTAAAATTATCGTGGAAATAAGGTAGGTTGATACAGAAACTATTTATCGCACATGTACTGTATATGCAGTGGTGTAGCATAGTGGGGGCGGCAGGGGCAGCCCGCCCCGGGCGGCACTTTTTAGGGGGTGGCAAAACTTCACAATAAATAATAATATTATCTTAAAAAATTTGAACCATTCTATTCTATATTTGCATCACCCCTACAATAGTGCTATCATCCAGACAGTCTGGGAATCGACTCACCGTCCGGGTGAACTAGTAATTTCATCCAGGATATCCTGCGCAATCTCTTGACCTTTCTTTTTTTTTTCTTGTACGATTCAATTCATATTCATATACACTTCCAATATCCAATAGAGCTATTTTAAACAGGTCGCTGCACTAGCACGAAATTTTTCATTGCTTATTCTGTGATGAAACTGAATTTTTGTCTTTTAAATTAAGATAACTAAATAAGGGGGGCGAAATTTTCCTCCGCCCCAAGTGGCTGACACCCACGCTACACCACTGTGTATATGAGCTTCAAAATAAATAAATAAAAATAAATTTTATCAAACGATGAGATCAGCCGATTAATTGTATCGTGTACAATATTTTATACTCCCAAGGAAAATATTATAGGTCTACGATAAAATAAATTTTGTTTTCTCACAGTTAAACTTCACCAGTAATTGCTGTTGTGATAACTTTAACACGATCTTCTAAAGACAGCACTTTGCATTTCTTTCATTTTTCATACAATTTTGAACAAACTGAAATGAATTTCCTTTGTTGCTAGACTAATTCATTAACACCTGCACCTAATTTCAAGGGTGGGAGAAGTGCCTGATGTGGGTTCGAACAAGAGTTTAGACTAATTCATTATATTAAGAAAGGGGAAACCTTGTTGAACAAAAGTTTAGACCAGATATATTTGCGGAAGTGGTCGCTTATTACAGTTGTATGTTGTTTTGGACAAAAATCAATGCCCGTGGTCGCGTTACACAGGTGGTCATTTAATACAGGTAACTTATACGAAGACTCTATGGATAAACTATTCGGTGCCAGAAATTTTTGCCTGTTTTGACAGGTGCCCGTTGAATGCAGGTGGTCATCTAAGCAGTTTTCACTGTATTTGTAATTATATAAATTAACGATTTTCATTTAATTATAAAAGACAAAACTACAGCTTTATTCTGACATCAATTTGTTTAAAGCAAAATATATTTTCAAAAATCCAATTTTTATCATCAGTTCAATCAAATATTACAACAAAACATCCAAGAGAAAATTATTTCAGGTATATACAGACACAAATGCAATTCAACTTTATACATATAGTCCATAACACTCTATTCTACTCTATTTTTAAAAATGTCTTTCAGTGTTAATAGCTTTTTTTTTATCAAGAAAATAATACAAACTTGATAAAACAATCCAGACAACTTTGCAAGTTCTTTGATAAAATTACAATTATCATTTTCAAGCATTTTAGATTAGAACAGGAAAAAAATTTTTATTTTAAATTCAAAATAATGCTCCAATTTTTAAAAACACATTTTGCTGATTACCCAAGAAAATACAGTCAACCCCCCTATAAGATATAGATACGTTCCAATTTATTAGGAATCCGATTTCTTACAAGTCGTTCCAATCACAGCCCAACACGTGTCAAGTTTACGGACTACGGCTGATTGAAAGGTTTTCTTCCATAAAATTAATCGATTCTACACTAATCCGACTCAACATTTCCAAAATACGTATATTTTTTCGTAGTTTTATAGGAATCGTAATTATAGGGGGGTCGACTGTATANTTTTTTTCTTTTTTAATTTTAACAAGTAGGAAAATTCTGCCAATGTTTTTTATGGATTATCTGTTGGCCAAAAAAAATAGCCGAAAAACAAAATTATTTGATAATTATTAAAATAGGTTTTGTTAAAACATGAATGCCTACTGCTTCGAACACATCTAACAGAATAAAGGAAATTTTCGGTAATTTATTAGAATAGGTTACATTAGGTTAGAACATGGGTACCTGCTGCTCCAAACCCAGCAAACAGAGGAAAAGAAGGTAAATGTTACCTATGGTGACTAAAATGGCAGCGCTTTGGTTAGGTTTGTTTCATTTCCGTTAGATTAACTACAATTTTAGTAGACATTTCCTTGTTTTTTTTTACTTTGTTCAAGAACTACCATGAATCAATAACTAGTGGCATTAAACATACTGCATGCCTGCCAGCGGCTCCCCTCCAGGAGGTCAGTTGGGAGCACGAACAGTCAGAAGCATGACCATTTTAATCACCATAAGTAACATTAACAGAAAGGAATACATGAAAAGGTAAGAAAAGAAGTAAACATTTACTAAAAATTTAGCCAGATCGTCAATTTAGAGAATGGAAGGTTCCATAAAACAAGTATAACCAAGTCATCAAGAAGGAAAAAATATAGGAAAATAAAATAAAAGTAAGGGAAAAGGTAAGTAGCAAATTTATGCTTTAAAAATGTTTTAGTTTAAATAAAAAATTTAAAAATATGTACGTATCAGTAATTTTTGATGGTCGCCATCTTGTTTGCACATGCACATGTCACAAACAAGATGGCGACCGGAAGTGCGGCCATAGGGGTTACCTAGGTATACTTTAACCAAAAAAACTAATAATAATAATATTAACAATAGAATGTTTTTTTATATTATAGAGACTTTTTTAATGAAATAAAGCTTAAATACATCAAAACTTTTCTAGATTTCTAATTACACATAAGCCAAGCCTGACAAATAGCAATAAATGATATAATAATAACCAAAACACCTTTATCATTGCCGAGATCGTTTGGTTATTATTATTTATTTTTTGCTGAGCATGTTCTTTTTAATAAATGATATAAACAGACCTTAATCAGAATATACCACATTTACTTGCATATAGGACAAAGTGTGACTTTAAAGATCAAAATAAAGAAAATTAGATTTATTAATACAATTCTAATTTTATTTCTTTTAATCACAAGTAAAATATCAAATGAATG